GAGAACTGTATGGCCGTTCCTCAAACTACAGATAGAGCTGCCATACAATCCAGCAATCTCACAACTGGGGTATATCCAGAGGATTGGAAATCATCAGGTTGAAGGGATACGTGCACTCCAATGTTTATTGCAGCTCTATTTACAACAGCTAGGCGATGGAACCAAGCTAAATGTCCATTGATGGATGACTGGATAAGGAAATTATGGTACATATACACAATGGAATACTACTCAGCCATAAAAGAGAATGAAATTCTGCCATTTGCAGCAATGTGGATGATCCTGGAGAAAATTATTTCAAGTGAAACAATCCAGGTACAGAAAAAGAAATACCACGTGTTCTCACTCATAACTGGGAGGAATCCATAAATAAACAAATAAAAAATAAAGAGAGACAGAGAGAGAGAAAAAGAAACAACCATCACAGTAATACACTGAACTTTTAGAGAGAAAAGGACCATGGTTAGTAGAGGTGGAAAAGGGGAGGGGAGGCAGGGGAGGCTAACAAGGAATTGATTAATGTACCCAAAGAATAATTGTGTATTGTCATGATGAATAAGCTAACTAACCTGATCTAACTATCACACAAAGTGCACAATTATTGAAAATCAATGTTGTACCACACGTGTATGTATAATAAAGTATCTTTAAAAAAAAAAGAAATGATGGATTCTAATTGGGAGTTTCAATGTCAAATCGGAGACAAGGGGTGGGGAGCAGGAAGGTTTGAAAACAGCAGGAAGGTTCGAAAGGCATTTGGAGTAAAGAGGACAGGAAGGACGATAACAGGGACACGATGATGGCATCCAGTACAGCAGACATCTTCCCCTCCCAAGGACCAATCCCCCTTCCTTATTAAAAGAATCTGAAATTTGTTCAGAGAGTAAGGTGCCTAATTGAAAATTTCCCCCCCCACTCTCATGTGCAGCTGGTGGGGAGCCATGTGACGGAATTCCGGCCGGTGGGTGTAAGTAAGCCAGGCATCTCTGGGAATCTCCGCCTTCTTNCACCTTGTTACTTGCCTCTTCCTCTGTCTTCCCTCTTAGAAAGCAGACACAATACCTGGAGATGCAGCAACTAGGAGGCAATAAGCCAAAGGACGAAGGGTAAGGATGGTGGAAAAAATACCAAAAGTTTGGATCCTTGATGATATTGTGGGGACAGTCCCGGAGTGCCCAACTCCTAGGTGTCTTATTTCGCCCTTCGCTGTATGTTGGGCTTTCTGTTATTTG